CCGCAGGGGGCGCCGTCTCGCCCGTACCCGCTGCGGCGTCGGCGCGTCACTGCGTCACGGCGCGTCTCCTCTAGCGCCGAGGCCCCGCCCCCTGGGCCGCCGAGCCCCTCCCCGGGCCGGAGTCGGACTGGAGTCGCTGGTGCGGCCCCGGGCCTCCCCGTGGTCCTCGGCCTTGTGCGGCTTGCCGCCGCTCGGGAGTCGCTGGTTCGCGGCGGCGCAGGGTTTGTAGGACCTGACACAGCCGACCCCGCTCCACCGGGGAGAGGCGTGTGGGAATCGAGGCTTGACCCCTCCTCTAGTGTCTGGCTCTTTCCGCGAACGTCAAGGGCCACACAGGTTGAAACGAGTTAGAATTCCTTTTTCCTCTCTTTTCTGAGTCAGGACCTCGTATATCCCAGGCTGGCCTCAGACGAGTTGAATATCCACCGTGTGTTGCTGCATTTGTTTTCCGGTTCATCTGTGGTAATTCCTGTGGTGACAGTGCACGTGAGACAGGGCAGTTACCCCTTCCGGAGCTCCCTTTCCAGTCCGTGGGTCTCCACCCGGAAGTGAGGTGGCTGGAGCATTTACTTCGCAGTGGCTTTGGTTTTGCATTCCCACCACAGTGCACAGGTTCCTTTCTCCTCTCTTCGTTCCCGCAGGGCTTGTTACAGCGTTTTGGATTTTCACAGTGGCCATGCTAGGGGTGAGGTGGTCCCTTGTGGTCTTGCTCTGCGATGACTGATGATGTTGAGCTCCTCTCCCTGTGCTCCTGGTCGTCTGCGTGTCTTCCTGGAGGAAGGCTGACTCAAGTCCTAGGCTACTCTGTAGCCAGTTTGTGGTTTCTTTTTACTGCCTGAACCCCTCCTGCAGCGGATTCTGACCCTGATGCTTACGGTGTGCAGATAGGGTCTTATTGTGAAGGCCGTCTTTGTGGATGGACTCCTTGCTCTGCAGAAACTTTTCAGTTCAGTTTCTGCTCTTGCTGAGTCATTGCCAAGAGTGTGAGGCTGTTATCCCCCCCCCCCCAATTTTCTTTTAGGGGATTTATAGGGCTTTGATCTGCTTGATCATCTTTCTGCAGGCAGCAATAAATTTTATTTCCCAGCCTGTTTGATGAGAGACTGCCCTCATACCTCGTGTCTTTTGGCACCTTGAAGGTCATGTACCCATAAATGCAGGGTCTTGTTTCTTATTTCTGGGTTCTTCATTCTGGCCCATTGGTCTTTATGCCAGTGCTGAGTTTGTTAAGTTTATTTATACTTACTTTATTTTCTCTATTGGTACTTTGACCTATTTTAAAGAATTTTATTTTATTTTTGCTGTTTATAACAGTAATGCCGAATTTGCTTTATTCATACCTCTTCGGTGAGTCTGCCATCCTATTTGTGTACAATATGATTGGTTATTTAAACTACCTTTGAAACCTTGGATTATAACAATGACATTGCAATCCCTAAGGTATCACCATGTCCACTGTTTAAAGAAGCTGATATTCACAATGTCCCTTCTATAAGTTTTGCTTTAGATTTCCAGAGTGCTAACGCACATGAAACATCCAAATCTACATAGAATGTTATCACCTATTAGACCATTATGCCACAAGTAAAGCATTTTAAGAGCTGATTTATACCCATGGTTATTCTAACAAATGTCAGAAATTATAAGACAGATTCAGTTAAAAGTAAAATTTTCTATTGCTACATATCATGTATTTTATGAAGTTTTTCTTTTTTTATTTTTGTCTTTTGAGATAAGGTCTCCCTATAACGAATTTGTTTTAATTTTTTATTACTTAACTACATTATTTTCATTGTTTCTTCTGTAATTGTTTAAAGTACTAAGTATAAAGGTTACCTAAAGATTGTTCTTTAGTATCTTACCTTTTCAGGGAGATGGGGCTTGTAGTTTTTTGCATTGTGGTCAGAGAGTTGTTCATTTCTCTTCTCTGGAATGTATTGAGCACTGTGTCACTTTTCCTGGGGCGATGTGAACAACCCTCTGTTCACCCCCAATGTCAGACCAAAGCAGTGATTCCACTGAAGCCTAGCTTGGTGAACCAGTGAATTTATTGGGGTTACATATAGGGGCATGGGTGAGGGCTGCATAACAGGTGTATGGGTGATTCTTGGGCCGCTGCATCACTGAAAGCCTACCTCTGGGATGGACTGCATTCCTGAGCTCTGTTCAACTTGGCCTCTGCTACTGAAGAATTTCCCCTCTCCAGCAGGTGTTTATCACTTATGTAACCTTGGGGAGGGGTCCTGAGTCTTGTAAAAGTTTCATGTACCTCTTGAGCCTCCTGCATTTCTTAGCTTCCTGAGTCTTAGGAGCCTCCTTCCTCCTTCCAGGAAGGAGTGTTTAAATTCAGAACAAGGCTCCGAATGGGTATGCAACAAGGTTTTAAAAATTTGCTTTGTCAGCTGTGGTGGTGCACGCCTTTAGTCCCAGCACTCGGGAGGTGGAGGCAGGCAGATCTCAGTGAGTTAGAAGCCAGCCTGATCTACATAGCAAGTTCCAGGCCAGCTGGGGCTACAGGGAAGTTTTTTTTTTTTTTTGGCCCTTGTGTTTTGGGCCTTTTTTTTTATTATTTTTGGTCTTTTTGAAACAGGGTTTCCCTGTAGCCTCAGCTAGCCTGGAGCTCACTGTGTAGACCAGGCTGGCTTTGAACTCACAGAGATCTGCCTGCCTCTGCCTCCCGAGTGCTGGGACTACAGGTGTGCGCCACCACGCCCAGCTGTATTTATTATTTTTTAATTTATTTGTATAAGTGTATTGTCTGCATGTATGTAAATCACCTGTGTCATGCAGTGCCCATGGAGGTCAGAAGAGGGCGTTGGATCCTCTGGAACTGGAGTTACAGATGGTTGTTAGCCACCATGTAAGTGCTGGGAAATGAACCCAGGTCCTCTGCAAGAACAGCCAGTGCTCTTAAGCACTGAACCATCTCTTCAGCCCTGAGTCCTTGTGTTTTTGACATTTCTATTTTAAAGCTTCTTGCTTCATATAGTTCCAACTCTATTAAGGTGTGCATACAGATTCCACTTTTTTCTTCTTTGAAATTAACGATTTCTTTCCCAGGTACAGTGCTTGTCTGTCACTTTCAACATTTTCTTGCGTGTTACCCCTAGGCCTGTGCTTCCATTTGGGGACCACCATGGCAGGCTGCAGCCTAGACCTTTTTTTGTTTATTTGTTTAGAGACAAGGTCTTTCTTTGTTGCCCAGGCAGGCCTCAAACTCTTCATCCTGCCTCAACCTCTCCAGAAGCTGGGACTATAGGCAATGCTGCCTCCCCACTGTGCTTTTTCTTTTTCTTTTTTTTTCGGGGGTGGGGCGCTCTCTTTTTTAGTGTCTGTTGCAAGTAGTATTACTGTGCCTTCATACAAGCGGATGAGGGAATTTAATGTGTATCTTATGTTTGGGTTTGTTGTAATCTAAGGTGGCTTTTTCCAATTAACGTGCCTTGATTTCCCACCCTAGTGTCCTAACTCGTAAGCTGTCTGTTAGTTTTGTTCTTGTCTCCTCCTCCCCTCCCCTTTTCTCTCCTCTTCTCTCTTCTCTTCTCTCTTTTTTGAGACAGGTTCCTCACTGTACCCCAAGCTGGCCTCAGATCTGCAATTCTCCTGCAGGCATGCACTGCAATGGGCTCTTACCAGTACTTGTACACACATTGTCTATGTCAAGGTTTATTATCACAGCTCCTTCCAAATTGGAATGAGATCTGGTGGCGTGCTCCTGATTCTTAGTTCTTTTTTTAAAAATTTTATTTATTATTAGTGTTTTTATTTTATTTTATTTATTATTTTTATTTTATGTGTATGCATGTATTGCCTGCATGTAGGTAAATGCACCCATGTCGTGCAATGCCCGCGGAGGACAGAAGAGGCTGTCAGATCCCCTGGAACTGGAGTTTCAGACAGTTGTTAGCTGCCATGCAGGTGCTGGGATTCGAACAACCGGTGTTCTTAACTGCTCAGCTGTCTCTCCAGCCTCTTATGTATTATTTTTATTTATGTGTATGTGTGTATTACCTGTGTGTCTGTAAGCGCACCTGTGTTGTGCAGTGCCCATGGGGTCAGAGAGGGCTTAGATTCCCAGGAACTGGAGCTACAGATGGGTGTTAGCTGCTATTTGGGTGCTGGGATTTGAACATGGATCTTCTGCAAGAGCAGCCAGTGCTCTTAACCACTGAGCCATCTCTCCACCCCTCCCTGATTCTTAGTTATGGTAGCTTATGTTTTATTTCATTACAAATACTTGCTTAAAAATTATTCTAAAATGTCATTTTTTTCCTCCCAATAGTATCCTTTCTTTTTTGGGGGGTCTTTTTGAGACAGGGTCTTCCTGTAGCCACAGCTGGCCTGGAACTCTATGGAGACTAGGCTGGCCTTGATCTCACAGAGCTCTGCCAGCCTCTGCCTCCTGATTGCAGGGGATTAAAGGCCTGCAACACCACCCCCAGCTTCTAGTAATATCTTTTTTTTTTTTTTTTGGTTTTTTTGAGACAGGGTCTCCCTGTAGCCCTAGCTGTCCTGGAACTCACTATGTAGACCAGGCTGGCCTTGAACTCACAGAGATCCACCTGCCTCTGCCTCCCAGTGCTGGAATTAACGGTGTGCGCCACCACACCTGGCAGTAATACCTTTATAGTGACTAAATCACCAAACCTTGAAGGGAAAGCAGTGCAGTGCAGAGGGCCTGCAGCCCCGCACTCCACAAGCCCCCCAGCCCCCAGGCAATTCAGAGCTAGTAGAGCCCACACCTGTTCTGTTCTTTGACCTCTCATCTGGGTCTCTAGGATCCTGGCAAACACTGGGGAATTAGGGTTGTGTCTTCTGAGAGCAGGCAGAAGCTCCCCCCTCCCCATGTCCAGAACTCTGTCCGTGGGGGGGGCAGCAGTTCTCCTCTGGATACAGTGAACACAGCTACTGAGCTGAGGGTCAGAGAGGCTGTGCCTCAGGGGAGGGGTCCTCAGGGAGACTTGGAGAGCTAGGTGGTCACCCTCCCTGAGGGTATTGCTCAGGCCACTAGTGCTCTGTGTACTCGTGCATACACTAGGTGTGTCTGCTTGTGTACATGTGTATACACTAGGTATTATGTCTGCTACAGACCCATGCTTGTACATTCCACGCTTTGCTCACCTACTGGAATTCGGGGAGAAGAACCATGAGGTATCCATGACGGCCCTGAGGCTCCTGCAGAGAATGAAGAGGGACTGGATGCACACTGGCCGGCGCCCCTCAGGTCTCTGCGGAGCAGGTACAGCTTGGGCCATGACCTGTTCCTAGGATGGTGTCAGCTTGGTCTGGCAGTCACATTGGCTGGAGGGCCGGGTACTGTGGTAGCAGTTTCTATCCTGACACTTCATGCATGTGTGTATGTATGTTTGGATGTGTGTATGTGCCCATGTATGTGCTAGTTGTCAAATTTGGGACCCCGTGCATGGTGGGCAAGTTGCATCCCAGCCTTTTGCCTTGACCCTTGAGCCACCAAGCCCATGGGTTATGGATTGTGGTTCTAGAGCCTGCTTAGCATAAGAGCTGTGTCCTGAGCCCAGCACCAGCCTGACCTTGAGGGTCCTCAGCCCTCAAAGACTTCTGGCACTTCCTCTGTTGTTGGCCTCTACAGGCTCTGAGGAGGGTGAGGGAACAGCAGGAGCTCTAGTTTCACCCCAGGTTGTTTACTTGGGGTGAATTGTCCTCATTCTCAGAATGGCTGAGATGTCCTCTCATGTAGATGCTGAGCCCCTGCTGGCCAGCAGCAGCAAGGCTCTTCCAGCTGTACCGTACAGATCACAGGCTGTGCTTTGCTCTCAGTGCTTAGACATGTCTAGCTGACCATGGCCTAGACCCAGGGTCCACTGTCCAGGAAGAGCATGAGGCCAGCAGGGCCCTGTTCACTCTGTCACTCCAGGCAAAGGTGTCATAACCTTGTTGGCAGACCCATTTTACCCATGGTCAGCCATCACTAGCCAGAGTTGAATTCTCTGGCTTGCTCGCTCTCATGTGCTCTCTCTCTCTCTCTCTCTCTCGTTTTTTTGAGACAGGGCTGGCCTGGAACTTGCTATGTAGACCAACCTGGCCTCAGTCTCACAGAGATCCACCTGTCTCTGCCTCCTGAGTGTTGGTGTTAAAGACAGGTGCCACCATGCCTGTGTTTTTTTTTTATGTTTATGAGTATTTGAGTGTTTTATGTGCATACATATAAGTGCATCCGTGTTGTGCAACGCATGTAGAGGCCAGAAGAGGTCTGTCAGATCCCCTGGAACTGGGTTAAGGAAGGTTGTTAGCTGCCATGTGGGTGCTGGGAACCAAAACTAGGTCCTCTGGAAGAGCAACCAGTGCTTCTAATCACTGAGCTCTCCCTCCAGCCCTGAATTCTTAGTTCCCATTCATGGATGAGTTTTCTGGTAACTTTTTTTTTTTAACTTTTTTTGTTGTTGGTATTTTTGAGACAGGGTCTCCCTGTAGCTCCAGCTGTCCTGGAACTCACTATGTAGACCAGGCTGGCCTTGAACTCACAGAGGTCCAGTTCCGCCTGCCTCTGCCTCCTGAATGCTGGGATTAAAGGCGTGCACCATCATGCCCAGCTTTTCTAAACTTTTTAAAAAAGATTTATTTTTTATTTTATGTGTATGCATGTATTGCCTGCATGTAGGTAAGTGCAACTGTGTCATGCAATGCCCACGGAGGTCAGAAGAGGGCGTCAGATCCCCTGGAACTGGAGTTACAGACAGTTGTTTAGCTGCCATGTGGGTGATGGGATTCGAACCCAGGTCTTCTGCAAGAATAACCAGTGTTCTTTACCATTGAGCCATCTCTCCAGCCCCAAACATTTTTTTTATTTAATTTAATTTAATTTAATTTTTGTTTTTTGTCTTTTTTAAAATTTTATGTGTATGCATGTATTGCCTGCATGTAGGTAAGTGCACCCATGTTGTGCAATGCCCGTGGAGGTCAGATCTCCTGGAACTGGAATTAGGGACAGTTGTTAGCTGCCATGTGGGTGCTGGGATTCGAACCCAGGTCTTCTGCAAGAACAACTAGTGTTCTTAACTGCTGAGCCATCTCTCTAGCCCCCTGATGACCTTTCTTGCTCCCCCCCCCAGCACTTCTGGTTGCAGCCAGAATGCACGACTTCCGGAGAACCGTCAAAGAAGTCATCAGTGTGGTCAAAGTGTGTGAGTCCACACTACGCAAGAGGTAAGCACTCAAGCTCATTATATGGTGGCTATGGAGCCAGTCTCTTTGTTGGAGGTACTACCCTGGACTGCCCTGCCCTGTGGAAAAGCCCTGCTTTGCACTCTAGTGTCTGCTGAGATTAGTTGACTAGGCTTAGCACACTTACACACTGGAGCAGCATGGGCCACTCCTCATCCCCCTGTTGAGTGTGGCCCATCCTGGGTTTTGAAAGCCCATTGACTTCTTGTGGGAGCTAGAGTCCATTAAGCCCCACCAGGTCTGTTTATCCAGAGGCACACACAGCCATGGCTCTGTGCTCAGCTCCTGTCAGGCTGCCCTCAGCTTATCTGGACAACCTGGACAAGATGATCAAGCTGAGGAATTGCTGGGAAATCTTCGATTGCTGATGTGTGCATCTGAAGTCACAGCATTTGCTGACTGTCTCTGCTGAGGTCATCTGCTATAGCAGCTTGAAGCAGGTGGAATATTGTTTTGCTTTAAGTATTTGGCCTCTAATTATTTTTATTTTATTTATTTATTGTGCGCCTGCGTGTGTATGCATGCCACAGTGCACAAAGAGAGGTCAGAAGCTTGGCAGCAGGCACCTTTACACACTGAGCCATCTTGAAAGCCCCTCTTAATTTTTTTTTCTTTTACACATTTAAAAAATTTATTTGTAGCCGGGCATGCTGATGCACACCTTTAATCCCAGCACTTGGGAGGCAGTGGCAGTGGAATTATTTATTTTTTTCTTACTGTTGTTTTTGAAACAGGATCTTTTTGTCTCAAAAACCCCTAAAAAGGGAGTTTTGGAGTGATGGCTCAGTGGTTAAAAGCACTGGCTGCTCTTGCAGAGGACCCTGGTTTAGATCCCAGCACCCACATGGTGCCTAACAACTGTCTATAACTCCTGTTCCAGGGGATCCAAGACCCTCTTCTTACCTCCTTGGGTATTGCATGACTTGGGTGCACTCAGGTGCATGCCAGCAATACCAGGTGTGGTGGCGCACGCCTTTAATCCCAGCACTCGGGAGGCAGAGGCAGGCAGATCTTTGTGAGTTTGAGGCCAGCCAGCCTGGTCTACATAGCAAGTTCCAGAACAGCTGGGGCTACAGGGAGACCCTGTCTCAAAAAGCCCCTGATGGCCAGTGGCAGCAAGGCTCTTCCAGCCGCACCATACAGATTACAGGCTGTGCTTTGCTCTCAGTGCTTAGACATGTCTAGCTGACGGTGGTCTTTTTGAGACAGGGTCGCCCTGTAGCCCCAACTGGTCTAGAACTCGCTATGTAGATCAGGCTGGCCTTGAGCTCACAGAACTCTGCCTCCCAAGTGCTGGGATTAAAGGCGTGTGCTATCACACCTGGCTAAGAAAATCTTTCTTTCAAAAAAACAAAAAAATTGGGCCAGGCGTGGTAGCACATGCCTTTAATCCCAGCACTTGGGCAGCAGAGACACGAAGATCTCAGTGAGTTCAAGGCCAGCCTGGTCTACATAGTGAGTTCCAGGACAGCTGGCGCTACGGGGAAACCCTGTCCCAAAAAGACCAAAAAAAAACCCACAAAAACAAAAAAAAAATAATTTTACGTGTGAGTGGTTAGGTAGATGTGCATACCAAGGATTGACCTCAGGTTATCCAATTTGGCACTCTTACCTCCTGAGCCATCTTGCTGGGCCTAAAATTGTTTTATTAAACCTTTTAGCCAAGCATGGTGGTACACTCCTGGAATCCAGCACTAGGGAACTCTAGAGGTAGGCGAATCAAGAGGTCAAGGTCAAGTTACAGTAAGATCAAAGCTAGCCTGGGTACACGAGACCCTGTCTCATAGAAACAAAATGAACAAACAAAAATTAGTTAGCAGTGGTGTATACCTGTATTCCTAGTGGGGCGGGGAGACGTGAAGATCAAGAGTTAATGGTCAGACGTCAAGGTGGCTCAGTGAGTAAAGGCACTTGCCTTTGCTGCCAAGCCTGACACCTGAATTCAGTCCCAGGACCCACAAGGTGGAAGGAGAGAACCGACTCCCAAAAGTTGCCTTCTGACTTCCACATGCATGCAGTGGCATACACTCTGTGGAATTCATGAGCCCACACACACATAAACACGAATGAATGAATGAATGAATGAATTAATGAATGAAGTAAAATTTTTAAAAAGACTTCACCTTGAAGTCATCCTCAGACACATAATGACATTAAAGCCACCCTGAGCTACATAAGACCCTGTTTCAAACAAACAAACCTAATTTTGAAAATTGTATAAAATACAGAAAAGAGGGGCTGGAGAGATGGCTCAGCAGTTAAAAGTACTAGCTGCTCCCAGAAGGCTTGGGTTCTGTTCCCAGCACCCATACAGTGTTAACAACTGTCTATAATTTCAATTCCAGGGGATCCGATGCCCTGGGTTTGTTTACATGTGGTATACTTATCTGCAGGCAAAAAATTCATACACATAAAAGTAAATAACTAGAAAATATTTTATATGTTTATGTGTGTATATTATATATATTTATATATATATATATATACATATATATATATATGCAGAAAAGAACACTTTGGCCGTGGCTTATTGGGCAGAACACCAGTCTAGCATGCCAGAGGCCATGGGTCCAATCCGCAGCACCACCTAAAATGGAATGGTGGAAGCACACAGGCCTGTGACATGATTTTGGCCACTCCAGAGGTGGACGCTGAAGAGCAGCACTTCAGTGTTATCCTCGCTTTAGAGAACTTGACCCCACTTGGGCTATATGAGTCTCTTGTCTCAGAACAACAGGAGAAAAGTTAGATCTTTCCAAAGGCTAAAAGTACCTGCTGCCAAGCCTGACAACGTGTACTGTGGCTTACATGCATACTTATGCTGCAACCCCCTCCCTCCCCTGAAAATAAAGTGTAATTTTTTTTTTTTTTTTTGGTCTTTTTGAGACAGGGTCTCCCTGTAGCCCCAGTTGTCCTGGAACTCACTGTGTAGACCAGGCTGGCCTTGAACTCACAAAGATCTGCCTGCCTCTGCCTCCTAAGTGCTAGGATTAAAGGCATGTGCCACCATGTCTGGCTATAATTTTTTTTTTTTAATTTAAGAAAATGCAGCCAGGCCAGCCTGGGCTACATAGCAAGACTCTGTCTCAGTTCATTAAAAAAAAAGAATGCCAGGGCTGGAGGGATGGCTCAGCAGTGAAGAGCACTGACTGCTTCTGCAGAGGACCCGAGTTTGATTCCCAGCACCCACGTGGTGGCTACAAACCGTCCTTAACTCCAGTTCCAGGGGAATCCGAAGCACTCTTCTGACCTCTGAGGCATTGCATGACACGGGTGCACTCACATACATGCAGGCAGTACACTCATACACATAAAAAAAAGACCAAAAAGAAAGAGAGAGAAAAACTGATAATATTTAAATTGTATCGGTAGTCACAGAAGTGCCCAGGCCCACATTACGGGGTAGGTGAAGAATGGCCAGGCTCCTCCTCACAGGGCCTCCTAAGACTCTTCTCTTAGGACCCAGGGTAGGTACGCAGAAGCAATGAGGGTGCCGTGGGCTGTTCTCTTGATTCTCTGCCTTAGGCTCACAGAATTTGAAGACACCCCCACCAGTCAGCTCACCATTGACGAGTTCATGAAGATTGACCTGGAGGAGGAATGTGACCCTCCCTCGTACACAGCTGGACAGAGGAAGCTGCGGATGAAGCAGGTGGCTCTGCCCTCCCATCATCACTTGGGTTTCCAAGAGCATTTGTGCTCTAACATCTCATCTGTTGAGCTCTCCAGGCTGCTAACTTGGTCTTCATCAGGCCTTGAGAAAGGGTTTGGGGGTGTGCCATGGATGGAGCCTCTAAGCACTGTCCATACTGGGACTGGCGGCCAGCTTTCCATCCCTGGCCCGCTGAGCCCATCCCCACAGCCACACTTTAGCTCTGGTTTGTTCTATAACACTAGACTGTAAAGTGAATTCCATAAGTGATGTATGCTTTAGAATACGCCGAAAGTCTGAGAAGAAACCAGATGCTGTTTCCCTACCCCAGGTAGCAGCTCCTACAGCTGGACCTCCTTTCATCGTCACTGGGCTCATGGCTGTGGGGTCACATGGCCAAGACTGCTTGGCAGGGGAGGGCAGAAGACCAGAGGTGGGCTGTAGCTGAGCTTTGGGACCACAGGGAATTCCAGGTGTTAAGTTCTTGGTTGCTGAGGAAGGCTGCTCTGTCCAGGGCCACGTGTGTGGTATAGAAGGAGGGGCCAGGCCTACAGTTCAGTTCTGACCTATGGCATTCCACAGCCTGACCAATAGTGACGCATTGGACATTTGACCCCTTACCAAATGCCCCCCTTGTTTTTCAGCTGGAACAAGTCCTGTCAAAAAAGCTGGAGGAAGTTGAAGGTAACCAGCCAGTTCTCATACATGGCTTCCCTTTTGGTAGAAAAATTGATGTGCTTACCTTTTGCTTTAACTTGTCACTTTAGGTGAGATATCCAGTTACCAGGACGCCATTGAAATTGAGCTAGAAAACAGCCGGCCAAAGGCAAAGGGAGCCCTTGCCAACTTGTCAAAGGATGGTGAGTCCTCCCTGCTCTCATGGGCCTTGAGGGCTCTAGGCCGGCACCCCTCTTGACTGTTCCTACTGGCTGCTCCATGACTGCATCCCAGGCTACTGGTCTCCTGGACAGAAGCACTAAACTGCACATCCAGCTGCTTCCAGGATGTCCACCTCTGCCTACCCACCTGCTGGCTGCAGGAGCGTCCCAGCCCTGCATGTTGTACTGTGGGTGGTTCTGTTGGCATTAGTCTAGGCAGCTCTCAGAACCATGGTTGTGCCAGGTGTAAGCATACAGCCCATGAATTCAGACTGTGGAGCAGGTGATGCTCTTGCTCCTGGCTCCTGCCTTTGTGGTGTTGCCGCCGCCCCCATCCCCACCCCCACCGCTGCAAACTTCTGGTTTCCAGTCTGGGGCTTTTCAGAGCTGCTATAGCCATTCATGTTACTAGACAAATCTCTTCTGGGCTGTACAGAATGAAAGCACAGTTCCCGTTTCCTTCCTTGGCACTGGTCTGTGGAGGCTGCTCTGGGCCTGGTGCGAGATACACACTGTGTATCCCTGTGGTTGCTTCCTGTGCGCTCCAGTTTGGGGTTCAGGGTGCTTCCTGCACTTGAAGCAGCCTGGGCTATATGCATCCCCTACTCTTTGCCCAACCTGTGCCATGCTAGGCAAGTGACATCCAGGAGCACGTGTATGGCTCCTTGTGCTTCAGTTTTTGCAGACACGTGTTCATATCCCATGTTCACTTTAGGACCACCTTGTCTGCCCCTCTCCAGCCCACTTAGCGCCTCTTGTTTCCTTCATCCTCCTTTCCCAGCTCCTTCTGCCCTCCAGGTCACCTGCCTGGCTTCTCCGCTGCTGTGTGCACGGGGGGCAGTGAGCTCCCTGTGAGCTCTCTGCTGTTTCCAGTTTCTTGTTCTCAAGACAGCTCCTCTCATCCACAATGAGGGAGCTTTGAAAATTCTGGGATGAAGTGTATTCTATTCTGACGTGTTGGTATGCTGGATAGCTTTCGTTGTCAACTTCACATACCTCAGAGAATTGCCTCTGTCAGGCTGGCCTGTGGGCGTGTCAGTGAGGCATTTTCTTGATTTCTGGGTGATATGGGAAGGCCCAGCCCACTGTGGGTGGTGCCAGCCTTGGGTAGGTCTTGGGTTATATAAGAAAGCAGGCTGAGTACAGGCCAGGGGAGCAAGCCAGTAAGCAGTGCTCCTCCATGGTCTCTGTTTGAGCTCCTGCCTCCAGGTTCCTGCCCTGAGCTCCTGCCCTGACTTCCCTCAGTGATGAACTGTCACTTGAATATATAAGATGCAATAGGACCCTTTCCTCCCCACGTTGCTTTTGATCAGTGAGTGTTCTTTCACAGCAATAGAAAGTAACTAGGAGAGTTGGTAACTTCTGCTTGCCCTGTGCAATGACCAGGAAGCCCTGCTGGTGTATCCCTTAGTATGGTTCCTGGGCATGGACATGCAGGGAGGTATCTTGTGTCCTGGGCAGGAAGGTGGGGCTGGACTTTCACTGTTGGTGTGCATTGGAGCCTCCACATCTGGAGCCTTCAGAGCTTTGGTTTTCCCTCACTTTGATCTCACCTGTGGCACCTCATATATGCAGAGGTGGCCACCACCTGCTGTCTGTGACACCTGGCCACCCTCAGGCTTCGGGTGCACGTAGGCCAAAGTGTCATTGTATCTCTGCTTGTCCTCTTCTGTTACTCTGTCCACTTGGGGAGCAGCTCCCAACACAGCAGAGTCCAGGCTTAGTGGCTTGATTTGACCTGGAAAGCTCTTCGTCTCACAGTGGTTTGAATAAGCTGTTCTGCTTTTTGTGGAGTCCTCTGGACCTTTGTCTGGGCTTCTCTTCTAATGTCTTTTATGTAATTTTTCATACCTCTGTTTCTTTTTACAATTTTTTTATATATTTATTTTTATTTTATGTGTATGAGTGTTTTGCCTGCATGTCTGTAAGTATACTCATGTCATGCCATACCCATGGAGGCCAAAAGAGGACATCTGATCCCCAGAACTAGAGTTATAGACTGTTGTTAGCTGCTGTGTGGGTGCTATGAACTGAACCCAAGTCTTCTGCAAGAGCAGCTAGTGCTCTTAACCACTGAGCCATCTTTCCAGACTCTACCTCTGTTCCTTGAACAATGTCTGCTTATACCTACTCTATGTTATAAAGCAAGCGTGTTCCTTCACACATCCTGTCTTTAGGGCATGGCAGAAATCTGCTAGGCACAGGCACGGTATTCTGGCTCAGGCTATGCAGGTTCTGGGTAGAGTTGTGGTTTTTTTCTTGGACAGTAGGGGAATCACACAGAACCTTAGGGCAGAGGAGCTAGGGGCTGTTGTGAGGTAGATTCGGGAGATACTTGTTGGGAATGTGGCAACACTTAGGTGGTCCTTTGGGAGGCTTCGTCTTGCTTGCCAGGGGCTATTTAGAGTTCAGGGGCCTCAAGACCTGGAACAGCCTGACCTCCTGTGAAGATAAGCCTGACCTTCAGAAGGATCTTCCTTCTCTTCCCCGAGGGAAGCACGTGTGAAGACTGGAGCATCCCAGGATGCCCAGTGCTGACCCTGCTCTTGAGGCGGTGCTTAGAGAGTCTCTGGATCAGAGAGATGCATCCAGACGTATCTTTCAGATCAGGCATCAGGAGATGTGATGCCTACACTGCAGGTTATACATGGTTCAAAAGCATCTTCGGCTTTTGAGCTTTGACTGGACATGACTGGTGTGAGGTGACCAAGCCTACATCACAGTCACAGTGATTCCAGACCTTTCACTACCACTGTCCTCATGTCCTTTGTGATGGGGAATGCCCCCTTCCCTGACCCAGGCTTCCACTGGCTACTTTCTGCCACTAAATTAATGGTCTTTTTCTAGACCATCTAGAAGCCACTTTGATGGACGTGTTGTGTGCCCTCGTCTTTCCTCAGCATTGTTTTGTGTTCCCGTCAATAGCTTGTCCTGTTACAGGTGTAGTTGCCATGAGTCTGCTGGGGTTGCTTCACACTCTTCTCTTGAGGATGTCTGAGTTAGTTTTCATTGTGGACATTTCCAGATGAACTTGTATGCGGTCTCTGTGGACATTTACTCCCTTTGTAGTGCCAGAGGAGTGGAATTGCTGGGTCTGTGGAAGGCAGTGGTCCAGATGGTTTGCACAGTGGCCATCACCACCCTCCCACTGGCAGCGTTGATGAGCCCTGTGCCTCCTTCCTCTGACGAGGACACCACTGTTTGGTGTGGGTCCTCAGCAGCCACCCTGCTCTTCTTGGCTTCGTTTGAGTTTGCCTGAGGGTTCCTTGGTGTTGCTGTGTGCGTCTTGCAGGCGCGGGTCACACTGCTGGGCGGGTCCCTGGCTCTCCGCAGCTGCCCGGGAAGTGCAGGTGAGTCTGTAGGTCGGTGGGCCCGTGCCGGGCGCTGGCGGCTCTGTGGGTCGCTGCCAGCTGCTGGGCAGGTTCTGCGCCAAGCTGCCGGACGCTCCCTCTGTGCACGTGATCCGTTGGCCACCGGATCGTGAGGGGAGGTGCAGGAACGGCGAACGCAAGATCTTCGCGAGTGGTTGTTGACGGAAGGCTAGCCCCCTCCGGGGAGACTGAATCACAGGCTGGTAACACAGGATACAGCTCCAGACAAGTTCAGTGATACAGCTTCGCTTTATTGGGGTGAAACCAGAAGATTTATAGTGTGGAGGCAGTAGCAAAAGCCTCAGTTGATAGGTGCTCTGTAGGATGCTTTATTTACATATGGCGGTGGGCTTCTATGCTGTCAGACAGTGCCTGATTATCACATAGGAAAAACCTGGCAGTTTCTATGCCAGAGGTCATGTATCTGTGGCGGCCACTTCAAAGGTGAGTCAGGAAGAAAGTAGGAGGCGCCCTGCTGGAAAGGGGAGTCTCTGCATAAAAACGCTGAGCCCCTTGGGCTATCCGGACATGGAGAGACTGCGACCCAAACAGCAGGGGTCCCCAACACTTGGCACGTCCTCCCTGTTCTGCACTCCGGGTGTCCTCTGTGCCAGTCTGGCAGGTCTGTCTTTTGCCCATTTTTAGGTGAGTTCTGTGTTTGCTGGTTGTGGGAACTCTTTCTTGACATGCTCTAGACTGGCCTTTCAGATATGTCCCTAGAGAAATTGTGGTTCACCTTTGTCCTGACAGTGTCTTTCACAGGCAGACATTTGTAAGTTACTCAAAAATGTTAATCATTCAGAGTCCATTTATCTGTGTTTTATGGGTTCTGTTTGAGTGTCATTGAGGGTGTTTTTGCCTACATCACAGACACTTTGTCTTTCCTAAGCATTCTTACACTCTCAGCTCTCACATGGAAGCTAGACTTAGCATTCTGCGTGAGGAATGCTCAGGCCATTCTTAAATGTAGGTGCTCGTCACCGTTTGCTGGCAGGATTATGCTTTCTCTCCCGCAGAAAAAGGCTTGCTCTTTGGTCATTTTTGTGTTCGTAGTTATTTTGCAGCTTTGCAAAAGTGTTTCTGTTACAAAAGTGGGCTCTCTCTGGCTTTCTGCCTGGTTGACAGGTCGTGTGCGAATCGTGTGTCCCTAGGCTCTGGTGAGGACGCAACATCCAGTCCATTTGGTGAGGAGGACACCGAGGATGAAGAGCTGGAGGCTGCCGCCAGCCACATGAACAAGGACTTTTACCGAGAAATCCTGGGGGACAGTGGCGGCTTGGAGGCAGCAGAAGACCTTGAGGAGGGCAACAGGCCCCTGGCCCTAGAGTCCCTGCTTGGCCCCCTGCCCACAGCAGCCAGCCTGGGCATCTCCGACTCCATCCGCGAGTGCATCTCCTCCCCAAGTGGGGACCCTAGTGAGTGCTCCGGGACAGGAGGAGGTTTTCAGTCCAAATGGTCCTTGCCAAGGACTGGACTAAAAACGCCTTGTTCCAGAAGGGTGGGCTTGGGTGACATGGGTCATTGATCCCTGGGTGCTGTGGTTTAGTTTTTGTCATGATAAAATATCCTGATAAAAAGAAACTGGTAACTGAGGAGAGGTAGAGTCTTATTTGGCTTACAATTCTGGGTTCCAGTCAGGGAAGTCAGGGCAGGAACTCAAGCAGCTGGTCACATCACATCCGCAGTATCTATAGAGCAAAGAGAATAAATGCATCATTACTTGCCTCATCTAGCTTTCTCCTGTCTTATAGTTCAGGACCCCCTGCCTAGGGAGTAGTACCCCCCACGATAGGCTGTGTCTTCCTACAGGAATTAACAGTCACAACAGTTCCCCATATCTATGCGCACAGAGCAGCCTGACACAGACCATTTCTCAATTGAGACTCTTCCCAGGTGATTCTAAACTGTAGTATCTAAAACTAACCATCACACTGGGTAAGAGCTGGGTGACTGGGTGTGTGCCAGCACCCTCAGATGCCAGCAGTCTTGAGCCTTGTCACTGGCACAGGCTCCCCTCGGCTCCACTGCATTGGCCGTCGGCTTATGGCCTGGGTCTCTACCAAAGATTGAGAGGATGTCTGGCATGGCCTGGCGTCATGCAAGTGGGAGGGACCAGGTCATTCCTGGGAAAGCCTGGGTTGAGGTGCATCTCCATTGACAGTGTCACCTCATGAGCTTGCACATGGACAGTAGTGAGATGCTGTTGAACAGGGATCAGTTCTCTCTGCAGCCCCATAGCATCCCCACTGCTTCTTGCCCTTTCCCCTCTTTAAAGCGTGTGTGTGTGTGTGTGTGTGTGTGTGTGTGTGTGTGTCACCATCCCTGTAATCTGATGCTGCCTCTTGGCCAGGTGCAGACTTGACCTTTGCAAGAGGGAAGGGCTCTGAAAAGGATGGGGCCTATGAGAGGTGGCCTCTCAGTCACTGGAAAGATGCTTCTCATGTGGGCTGCGCACACAGGACAGCTGGGTGTCTGCTCTTGAGGAAGCAGGTGCTGCATAGTAGTGCAAAGGAAACGGCAGCCTTAGCACAGGGACCCCAGAGCAGGGAGAGCAAGGGGAGCAGAGCAGCTCAGAGGCTTCAGGGTGTCATCTGACCACTGAAGAATCACCTCAGGGCCTCAGCCTTGAGAGATGACATAGAGCACCTCAGAGCCTGGCTGTGTGGGCCAAGTGGCCGCCCCAAGTTGAGGGCATTGGGAGTTGGAATATCTGGCATCTAGGAGGGCAGGAATAGTGGTGGAAGATTCTGGAGACCTGGATTGCAGGACTCTCCCTCAGACTCACTCCAGGCCTCCTAGCCTGGTAATAGAGTACCAGCATGCCCAGACCAGGCCTCCCAGTGGCTCCTCACCTGGTTCTTGCCCTGGGCTTAAGTTCCGTGTTGAGGAGAAGAGAGACATCTCTATACCTGTTTTCTTTGATGATGGGCAAGTCTGAAGTTATGCTCTTCCCGAGGAGGCTCTTGTACCCCCTCTGCTCCAACTCTTGAGTCCCAAGTGCCCTGGGCAGTATCTGCTAGGGCTGCCTCTGTGACACTCACGACATTCTTCATTGTAGAAGACACTTCGGGGGATGGAGAGCTGGACCTCAGCGGCATCGATGACCTCGAGATCGACAGAGTGAGCCCTGGCTCCCCTTTTACCCATTGGTAGTTGGGTTTTTGTGGAGGCTGGGGATGGCCTCCTGGCTCCTGGGCCTGTTGGTTTCCTTTGGCCTCGCTGGGCCTTAGGACTTTCCCAGTCACGGCAAGAGGGTGGTCTCAGAACAGCATCTGTGCCCCAGGCCATGCTCCATAGGCTCCTTCCTCCCAATTCCATCCCAAGGCAGCCTCAGCCTTCACGTGCCCTTCTAGAACCTGAGCTGCCCCTGTCAGGACCTTGTTGGGAGAGCCCTGAGCTCTTCACTTGACCTTGGCACCCACTGCATCACAAGTACGTTGTACATCTCCAGTCTCCAAATCCCAGAGGTCCCAGGCTGCCAGGCTGCACACTGCTGCTCTGCCATTTATCTCGGAGATCCCCCCACCAGGGCCAAGGAGCCCTGAGTACTGCCTCATGGCTGCAGCGTGAGGTTGGCCAAGAAGGGCAAAGGAGTGCACAGGTTTCTGTGCTGAAAGGAGGCCTTCCCACATCCTTCTTGCAAGTTAAGCATATAAATGGGAAACTAGGTGCTGGAGAGATGGCTCAGCAGTTAAGAGTACTGGCTGCTCTTGTGGAGGACCCAGTTCAATTTCCAGCACCCACCTGGCAGCTAACAACCAAACCATCTATATACTCTAGTTCCAGGGGAATATAATGCCCTCTTCTGACCTTCTCAGAGGGCATTTCATGACATGGATGCACTTACATGCAGGCAATACACTCATACATATGAAATAAAAGTAATAAAATATATTTATAAATGGGAAGCTAGTCGCTGAAGGCCTTTCACTCTGTTTCCTGCAGTATATCCTGAATGAGTCAGAAGCCAGGGTGAAGGCTGAGCTGTGGATGCGGGAGAATGCAGAGTACCTGCGGGAGCAGAGGGGTAGGTGCCCACCCATTCATCCCCTGGGCCCTGGGGTATGACCCCCGCTTATGCCATCCGCTTTGTTCAACTTCAGAGAAAGAAGCAAGAATAGCAAAGGAGAAGGAGCTTGGCATCTACAAGGAGCACAAGGTAAGTGCCTGGTGGTCTGACCCCACCTAAGGGCTACCTGATAGGAGGACGGCGTTTCAGGAACACCCCTCCCCCACATTCCTCGCTGCTAGGTTGCCGCGTTGACTACATGTCCCACTATGGATGTTTGTGCTCCTTAGCTTTGGGTGAGGTACACAGCACAGGCCCAGAGCAGACTGAATGGAGACACAGGGCTGGACCAGAGGTCCCTGGGCTTGAGTTCCTTGTTGACACAAGCGCCCTCATCTTTGTGCCTGTTTTCTTTGATGATGGGCAAGTCTGACAGTAACACCCTGCCTTGCTAGTTGTCTTGGTGACTTGGCTCAACTGCTCCTTCTGGGGCTTCAGGCACCTTAAAAGGAATTGAACCTTTGAGGGACAAAGTGAGAGGAAGATATGAGTTGGACTCCTACTGACAAGGCAAAACTTCTGGGGCCCAGAGTGGAGGCCGAGAGAATGGGTAGCACCTGCCTCAAACGAGGACCAGGGGCATGGGCAGGGAACTTGGTCCAGAACTCCGTGCTACCAGGCAGCGTGTTCCATGTTCTATGGGGTACCTTCCTTCCGTCTCCATAAGAGGGCTTTGCCAGGCAGGTGGTTATACAGAAAGTGAGGTAGGAGAGGCCTGTGCTAGGAGTTGCCAGGGTGATCTAAGCCAGCTTGGACCTGCTGTTTCTGTGTCTGGAACTCCTCTAGGTGGACCATAGCCGGGGCTCAAGAGCAGATGGCAGGTGTCAAGCTAGCACTTGGCTAAAGGCATTGCTTTTGTGTTTCATTTAGCCCAAGAAGTCTTGTAAACGTCGGGAGCCAATCTTGGCCAGCACAGCCGGGGAAGCCATTGAGAAGATGCTGGAACAGAAGAAAATCTCCAGCAAGATCAACTACAGTGTGCTGCGGGACCTCAACAGCAAGGGTGGAGGCAGCCCGTTCCAGGAGGACACACGGCCCCCAGAGCGGGCCAGTGCCAAGAGGCTGTCACGGAGGAAAAGAGCAGCCAGCAGGAGTGGTACTGGCCCCGGGACCAGCGTGGGGAAGAGGTACTGTCCCATTGCCTGGCTGGAGAGGCGGCCAGCAGAGGACCATGCGTCAGATCTGGACTGTGGTGCTCCAGCAGGGCACCCAGGAGTCACACTTGTCCCACTGAATTCTGACAAGCCATCTTCCCCTTGCTTTGGGGCCTGAGTAGAGGGTCTTTGGCAGCAGCAGAACCTGCTCCATCTCCAAGAGGTGATGCACACTCAGTGGGGCTGGGCTGTCTCCAAGTCCTGCCACGCCCCTCTCCCTCTGTAGTCCTGAGGCTGTGCCATTGGCTGTGCTGAGAGGAAGGAAGCAGCTGCAGGCGACCCCGCTGATGAGGACAGGGAACCAGTCAAGAGCCACAGTGTGCTGGTCTCGCTGGACCAGCATGCTGGATCAGTGTTTCTCTGCAGCTCTGACAAGAGGGCCTGTTGGCTCAGATGCATGTGGCCATTTTTGTGCTATGACTTGTTCTTGGGTGATGAGGTCCCACATTAGTGTGTCCCTCTGGCCCTGGATCTAGGCCGGGTACCCTGTGTGGCACGCATCACCTGTCCCAAGCTTTCCTGTGAGAGGCTATCTGCTCATTCTCCATGCTTGGATTCACCATGGCTTGTCCAAGAAGGAAAGCTAGAAAGGCTTTTTATTCACTTGGGAACACACATCTTTTCTATTTTGCTATCGTGTTGCTTCCACTTTGCTGTTGGTGGGTTTTGGCTTTCTTGTTTAATAATATGAAACCAACACTCCAGGGGCTAAATCAGGAGGGTAGTGAATTTGAGGTCAGCCAGGGCTACGTAATGAGACTGGTCTCAAAAATAACCAAAAGCAGGCTGAAGAGATGGCTCAGCTAATAAGAGAGCTTGCTGTTCTCTCAGAGGACTTCACTCCTTTATCAGGCTCACAACTGCCTTTAGCTCTAGGGGATCCGGTGCTGTCTTCCAGCCTCTGGGTACCTGCACATATGTGCTATCCTCACATAGGCACCCATATATACACATAAATAAAATAAGTTTTTTTTGGTTTTTTTGAGACAGGGTCTCCCTGTAGCCCCAGCTGTCCTGGAACTCACTATGTAGACCAGGCTGGCCTGGAACTCACAGAGATCCGCCTGCCTCTGCCTCCCAAGTGCTGGGATTAAAGGCATGCACCACCATGCCCAGCACTTTATTTTTACTTTATGTGTATGAGTGTTACGCCTGCATGTATGTAAGTACAACCATGTTGTGCAGTGCCTGCAGAGGACAGACAAGGGCATTGGATCCCCTGGACCTGGAGTTACAGATGGCTGCTAGCCGCCATGTAGGTTCTGGGAATCAAACCTAGGTCCTTTTTAAGAGCAGCCAATGTTCTTAACCTCTGAGCCATATCTCAAGCCCCATTCTTTTTTGTTATCATTATTTTTATTTTATGTGTATGTGTGTATTGCCTGCATGTGTGTAAGTGCACCCATGTCTTGCAGTACTCATGGAGGACAGAAGAGGCCATCGGATCCCCTGGAACTGGAGTTACAGATATGGCAGTTGTTAGCTGCCATGTGGGTACTGGGATTCGAACCCTGGTCTTCTGCAAGAACAGCTAGTGTTCTTAACTGCTGAGCCATCTCTCCAGCTCCCCCATTCTTTTGTTTTTAATTTTTTTTTTATTTTATATGTATAAGTGTATTGCCTACATGTATGTAAGTGTACTTGTATTATGCAGTGTCTGCAGAGATCAAAAGAAGGCATTGGATTCCTTTGGAACTGGAGTTATAGGTAGTTGTCAGCCACCTTATGGGTGCTGGTAATTGAACCCGGGTCCTTTGCAAGAGCGGCTAGTGTTCTTAACTGCTAAGCCGTATCTCCAGCCCTGGCTAGGCCTCTTCCACTGTCACTGTGACCATCTTGTTCCGTAGGAGTGTTGTCACAGTTCTTATCCTGAACCCCCACAGTGGGTGGCACCGTAGCCTTCTTGTTTGGTAGAGGTGTCCCACAGTGGGTGGCACTGTGACCATCTTGTTTGGTAGAGGTGTTGTCACAGTCCTTATCCTGAACCCACACACAGTGGATGGCGCTGTGATCATAGAGTCTCCTCAAGTCCCAGCCCTGATGTGGCTGTCTCTATGGGGATCTTTCTGGGATGCCTTCCAACTACTTCTGTATACAGGAAGGTGTTTAACTTCCCTCCATCCATTGTGTTCCCAGAACCTGTAGGGGTCTCCTGTTGCTCATGGGTCTTCCCTTGGCCCCATGGAGCACCAGGGCGGCTTACCTATCACCTGCAAGTGCTGGCTCTGCTTTGTGCTGGGAGAGTTGGCAAGGCTGCTTTAGGCATGGCTGCTTTAGCTTTCTATGAGGGGAGCTGGGTTTTCTCAGTGCCCTTTTAGCCTCTCATGGGGTCAAGCTCTGTGTTTCAGATTACTGAGTGGAGAACTGGGGGTTTAAATTCCCATTGCATTCCTCCTTGCACGCATAGCAGACCAGGTAGGCCTGAGGTAAGGTCAGGGCAGATCCCAGGGCTTGCCTCTACTAACCCCCAACCTTGGTGTCCTCACTGCTGGTCACTGTGACCTGTAGCACCAGCCTTATCTGTTTAGCTTCACTGGGCAGGGGTACAGAGTCTGATGGTTCTGCACACACAGGGCCAAGCTGAAGCCTAACCATGTTGTTGTTAGTGCTGGGAGAGGCCTGTCCTAGTGTAATGATTCTGGTGTCCTTTGTGGCCCAATTGGCCAGCTAGTGGGAAGCCTGTTAGTGTCAGAGTTTGTGAATATGAGGTTATGAAGGCCTAAGGGCTGGGGGTACCCCCCACACCTGTATTCATGCTACCCTTACTGAGTATGGGCAACTCAGACAGTTCCAGCAGGAAAGGGAGAAAAGCCACAAGCTCCACGGTCACAGCTTGTTCTAACAGCTATGAGCCTGAGATACCCCCTTTTCAAGGGCAGACAGAAAGGCAGGTGAGTGTGGTGACACTCAGCATCTCCCTCTGGGAAGGTGTTACCGTGGTGGGTCCGGTGCCCTGCTCCCAGCTCTTTGCTCATTCAGAGGCTCCTGGCTACCCCCAGACTAGACTCAGGCTAGTTTCTGCACAGCAGTGGTGGTGCCTGAGCCCCACATACAGCCCCCACCTGTCCTCAGCTAACAGGAAGTGGCCTGTTGAGGGCTCAGCTATCATCCTCCATCATAGGGTGTTTATGAAAATGCACTGTAGCATTATAGTCAAGGCTGAGAAGCTGATGACTGGGACTAACAGGTTCCTTGAGCCTGTGTCTGGTGGGGACTAGCCCTACGACTGAGGCTATGATCTGAGGTAATACCATACTGAACTTATCCTCTAGGCATTCACAGACCCTTCCATGAGACCTGGCCAACTGGTCTTGGTCCACATGGGTCCCGGAGGATTCTGGCTCACACCTCTGAGCACTCAGAGCAGGCTGAGATGTTCTGTCCCTGTTTCTTGTTACAAAGTTCTCTTCCTGGCATCAGAGGTTACCTAGTATGTCATAGCTGGGCAGGATGTCAAAGACGTCTGTATTTGGAGTGCCTAGAGGATGGGAGGTAGGCCTGGTGTGAAGGGACTGCTGGTAAGAGTCATGGGGTAGTGCTGTGAGCCAGGTGGGGGTGGACTCAGGCTTGCCTACCTCCTTCCTCTTCCTCATCACTCTTTCTTCTCTTCCTCACCTACTGGAGACTACAGATTGACCAGTGGGAGGTGTTTATGGCATCTCCCACATGGTCACTGCTCATGGCCCCACACATCTGTCCAGAAGGGGCTGGAAAGACAGTCCAGAGCCTTGAACTTGGGGTGCCTACCACATGGCCAAGAAAGGAAGCAGCTGACCGCTTTTGCATTTTTGTATTGTGTGCATGTATCTTCCAACCAGGACAGAATGATGACAGGCATTGATTAGTGCAAGATAGCAGGGCAGATCAGGATGGATAGAGCTGGACTTTGTAGGGGCCAGCAGCAAGGGTGGTACATAGTAAAACTGAGGAACAGGTGTGGGTAGGATGAGAGACTTGAGAGAGACACCATCGTGTGTGTCAGCATGGACACAAACCCCATCAGGTAGAACTACATGCTGCTGGAGGCACATTCCACACCACTGCATCTGCAGCTACAGGATGGCTGGGACCACTGAGTTCTTCCTGGTGTGCCCTGAAGATGCCAAGCCCACTTTCTCTGCCCAGCATAGTAGGGTTCTGGTAGAGTTGGTGAGAGCTGTATGTCTCTGAGAGAATGTGCCTGTGGAGTGGCAGGTTTGGTTTCTGATGTACAGCTGGACCAGACATGAGACCTTGCACCTGCCTGGACAGGGCCTTGGTTCTGTCAGTCAGTGGTAGTCAGCAGCCAAGGCTGGACTGAGGCCATGAAACCATGAGGCCACTCCTATGCTCTCTTTCAGGTTGAGGCCTCTGGTATCTGCGCAGCCGGCTAAGAAGGCAGCGGTAGAAGAGGTACGTTTTCCTGCACAACTGGGGTGCAGGGCCTCAGGAACACAGCAAGTTGCCATCAGGCTTGGCAGGGAGAAGCTCAGCTGGCTGCTGCATGACTGCTGGCCTGGTACCAGCAGAGAATCCTCAAGTTCAGGGTGTGAGGGCTCCTGGGTCACAGAAGTGACAAGGTGGCAGGTGGTAAGGGTCTAGGTATGTGCCTGCTGCTCAGGGGCTTAGAGTGAGCCAGCCCCACTTTGGACTGGTGTGGGCAGAGGCCAGGTTGCATACTTTGGGATCCTCCCTCTGGTGATAGCAGCCTTGAGGGAGGGAAGACTGGACCTGTACAGCCCCAGGACACCAGAAGCAGCCAGTGGGTACCAAGGGGCAGGCTGACCCTCTGACCAGGTCAGGTGTCAGGCAGGAGCTCTGTAAGGCCTGTCCAGGGCCAGCTTGTAGGAGCCCAAAGTTCCCTTGCCATCAGGAGGGCATGTGCACTCCTGCTCTTATCCCAGAGGCTGCCCTCTCCTTCCAGGCCTTGCTTTCCAGCTCCCCTGCCCTGGGAGCTGAGCCCGTCAAGCCATCGGCAGTCTTGGTAGAAAGTGGCCCTGTGTCATACCACGCTGACGAGGACGCGGATGAGGAGGATGCTGAGGAGGATGATGGGGAGCCCTGCGTCAGTGCCCTGCAGATGATGGGCGGCAATGGTGGGTGGGGCCTACGTGGTTGTGGCCCCATACAGGAACTTGGATTGGGCCTCCAGAGAGAGAAAGCATAAACTAACCCCCTCCATGATCTCTGAATACAAGCCTGTCAGCTCCAAACTAGATTTCTCTGCAAAGTAGAGATCTGAGTGAGGACACTATAAAATGGCCACGTTGAGCCCAAGGCTCTTCAGTATGTTAGAGCTGGGCAGGGGCCAGAAGGCCAGCTCCACAGGAACAGTGAGCAGCTGCTGTGAGGTCATGAGCTTGTTGAGAGTCAGCAGGAAGATGGCTGGCCTGTCAGTGGGGAGCCTCAGGTTGACCACACTGCTCACAGTGCCAGCCCCCCGGCCCCACCCATAGAGTATATGTCAGTCCACCAGCCCCAAAGACACGTAGAGATAGACAAGTGGTGGGACCTGTGAGATGAGGCAGTAGGCTTGATGTGGGAGGGAGTAGCCCAGGGTATGAGGGTGGCTCTCTGAGGCAGCAGAGAGGTGCTTAGACTTCTACCAATATCCTCTGTTTGCAGATTATGGCTGTGATGGTGATGAGGATGATGGCTACTGAGTGGAACTCAAGCAGACAATATCCTGGTGTTGGACTCCAAGTGTACCTGTGTCATGGGGGTCACATGGGCCCTGGGGCCGTGGGTCACAGACATGAGTTCTGACACTGGGGACCAGGCAAGCACAGCCCTGCTTGCTTTGAAATTCTCATCCCATGGCCACATTGTGGCCCTATGGTACTTACTATTGGGAATCATGTTTTGAGCAATGTAAGGAATATTTTTACCCAGCAAGGGAAACCATCTGTCTGTTATATGTAATGAAATGTGATCAGGGAATAACCAAGGGCTGAGTCCCACAGCATGACCTAGTCTACCAGTCATTGAGCCACCCAAGAATTCTTGTTTTTTTCTTTTGTGAGAGGGTCTCCCTGTAGCCCCAGCTGGCCTGGAACTTGTTAAGTAGACCAGGCTGGCCTGGATCTCACAGGTATCTACCTGCCCCTGCCTACCAACTGCTAGAATTAAAGGCATGCACCACCATGCCGAGAACCCAAGAATTCAAAAAGGCAGGCATTGTCGTGTTCTGTCATAAGGAAGCACAGGGGGCCTCACCACTCAAGAAAACAGAGGACTAGGTTCCCAGCTCCACACTCCAGAACTGCTCTTAACCTGCTGCCCTAGTGTTCTCTGCCCCACTCTCCTGTGGTCCTGCTGGAGCTCAGAATCCCAGGAGGGAAAGGCTTTGGGCAGTGGACAAGTGATAACTGCTGCCCTGACACTAGGCAGCTGTAGTCTGGAGCCCCTGCCTTTAACTGCAGCCCCAGCTTTCTGCTGAGACTGGTAGGAGCTCCCTACCACCTCCAGCACTTGTTCACTGTCTTAAACCACCAAGGGCACGAGTTCCTGCTCAGAACTCTCCTGTTCAGAACTCAGGAGGTGTGCACCCAGGAGCCCACGAAGCTGCCCGGTTGCAGTCAAGTTCATCAGCCGTGCTCAGGAATTGGAGACTAGACAACCTTGTGTGTCTGCAGGTCCTTGGTTGATGCCTCAGCACAGTCTGCAAAGAGTTTGGGGTTCTGGCCCTGCCACACGGAGTGAACCTCAAGAACCTCACCCCTCCTGTCTAACCTGGGGCTGGCTCAGTGCTCACGGACAGAGGGGTAGTCGGGAAGTCCCCAAGCTGCCACCTAGAACTCTTCATGTGCAGGCCCAGGGGCTATTTCTGTACTCTTACCTCAGGCCCCCCTTTCCTAGATGCAGCCCAGGCTCATGAACCTCCACTACCTGGGCTGAGGCAGATCTGACTATCTTAGACCAAGAGCGGGGGCCAGGCCTGAGAAGATGGTGTAAGGAGGGGTGGGAGGTGAGCTTTGCTGCAGATGGAACCAGACAGGTAGGATGGGCATGGAATGGTTCTGATGAAAACTTGGATTCTGTATGTGAGTGTGTAAACCACAATCGGGACCACCATAGTGCAGGGGCCAGCATCACTGGAATGGGAACAGGGCTATGGTGGGAGAGGCCTGGCACCAGGCCAGAGGACTCAGGATGTTCATATGTGGCAGGCCTTGCCTGTGGGATAGGGAGGATGTGAGAATGGGAGGTGAGAATTGGGGAAGGGGAACTGTTGGCACTGGGACGTGAGCAGGGGCCAGCCTGGGGATAGCAGGTGATAGGGGCTGTTCTGTATGGTGTTCTGAAGTTACTGATCCCCACAGGATCACAGGCAGGGATGAGGGACACTGGTGGGTGAGGAGTGTTCCTAGAATGTGGGTGAGTAGCATGTAGCGGGAGGGTCTTGGAATGGTGGGGACCCAGGTGCTGAGGACTAAGGCTACAGTAAGGGGCAGCCATGCAGTGGGCAGGGGTGCCTTTGGGCTAGACCAGAGCCACCTCCAGCATCTATGTGGGCCCCAAGGGGCCATTTGGGTCTGTATACTCCCATCCCACAGGCACAGTGGACACCATGGGAGCTGAATTCTGAAGTAAAAGCTAGACACTGAGCAGACTGAGCCCTCAAGAGGATTGGGCCTGTAGGCACACCACCAGTTACCTGCATGGTTGAAGTCCATGGCCACAAGGGGGTAGAGCTGGCTCTGGGTCTTACCCTCTGGTGGCAGCATGTGGCACTGCCTCATGAAGGAGTGGAGGCCTTGACCTTGCTGGACATGGACTCCCAGTAGTCAAGGCGAGACTTCAGGTGTGTCACAAACCTGGTCCCATCACTGACCTCCCCACTCTATAGCTTGACCAGTAGGGGGTGCCCCAGGACCAGTTTGTGCTTACTGGGAGGACTGGCAGGATGCAGGACCGGCACACAGCTCCTGGAATGGCACACCTCAAAGGCTTCTTCAGCCCTGAGGCACCTGCTGGACCTCCAGGACCCTTTCCAATCCCTGACCTGTCCCAGTCATAGGACCCAGCCACCCTGAAAAAGTGCCCTTACCTCTTAGGGGACACTGAGGGATCGATTAGTCAGCTCTAGGTAGAGGAGTGGAAGTCTCCAGGCCATGGGGGCTAAGCGGGTTGGGGTAGCTAGCCTGTGAGTGGTAAGCAGGTGGGGGTTCTTTAGCTTGGGGGGGGGGCTATGCAGGTAAGATCTCCAGTCTATATAGGCTGAGTAGGTGGGGGTTTCCAAAGGGCTCTTGGGCAGGAGGCCCAGCCCACTACATATTAGGTAAGCTCTAGTCGGGTGGGCCTTTGTTTCCTTGATCAGCATCAGTATCTGCATCCTGAGCTACGTGCCTGGAGGGCTAGCCAGTCCCTGGAGGGCCTGGGCTAAGGCAGGCTGGCACAGGGTGGGGACAACGGTCAGGCTCCAAGGCTGCAGTTGTCGCCTGAGGCCTGCCTAGGCCATCAAAGGGGCCATGGGCAGTGGTAATGGGCAAGCTCCTTAGGTTTTTCTGCCCAGAGAGGAACCTAGCTCCAGAAGCCATTGTCCCCAAACAATGGACCTGGTTTAGACTTGTGAGGGCAGTGGCCCCAAGCTGATGGGACCCAACCCATGTCAATCATCACCCTCTAGTCGTCAACCTGATCCTGGCTCTAGCCTGTCCCTTGTACTCATTCTGCCATGCCGTTGGTTACTGCCAACCTAGCTGACTAGGCCAGAGCCAGGGAGAAGCCATGACCCACTGTATAGTGGGCATTCCCAAAGGTAACACAAAGGTGGGGGGGTGTCACTGGTTTCTGGACAGCAAATATGAGCTCCCAGTCCAGTCCTGCTGTTCAGGTGGAGGCTGACAGGTCCAGGAGGCCTAGCTGGGACTGACGGAGAAAGCCATGTAGGTCTAGTCAAGCCTGATGGGCCGAAGGGAGCACTCATTTGGCAGTGTGATGTAACTGCTTCCCCCTCATGAGAAAGTTGTGAATAACTTGCAAGTTGCCACCATGGTTTCAGCCTCCTGTCCAGTGGGGCTGGACTGACCCCTGCAGAGATGTTTTGGGATAGGGGCAAAGGCCGGACTGGTGGATGAAGGTGCGGATTGTGAGCAGGATCCACATGCTTTTTCAAGAGATGTGGCATAAGCTCACAGAGTGGCTTCTGTAGCCCTTTAAGCACTCATCTACAAGGCACTTGCTTGGCCCGCGTGAAGGGCTGGTGTACTACCTCCCAATTCATGAAAAAAGGTGCTACACCACACACAGGTGAGTGTGTTCCATGGCGGAGCTAGTGGTACACTCCAGCTGCAGATGGGAAGCGGGCACAGCAGACGGTTCAGTTGGGTCTCCCATTTCAGCCCACAGACCTATCCTGATGACAGTCTGCCCTGTGCCCATCACAGTTCTGTGCTCTGTTGGGAGCCTGGGATGGGTTACCAGGTCACCTGAGGCCCCAGTACCTCCCAAGTTCCCGTCTCTTAAAAGCCCTTTTCCAGAACATTTCCTCCCAATCACAAAGAATGGGAAAGGCATTTCTGTCTTTCATGGGTTATTCAGTATAGGCACTGACAAATCCTGAGGTTTGGCAGGACAGCAGGGGGACACCAGCATTTGACTCACATACCTGATGTGGAAGATGAATCCAGAGGTAGGGTGGGGTGAGCAGACCCTGCCTACAAAGGAAAAGTAGGGCCGTGCTAGGCAGCCAGGCAAGATCCCGGCAGAGCAACATGCTTTGGTGTCTCTGTTCCAAAATCCCCTGGCAATGGCTGGGAAGGAGAGCTGGACCAGGGTCCTGCTGACAGTTCAGTAACGCCTAACCCTAACCCTAAGGCCCATGGAGTGCAGGCACCCTGGATGGGGAGGGACCCAGAGAGCCCTGCTGAGGCCCTAGGGTGGCAGATGTGTGGGGTTATATTAGGACAGCTTTCCAGATTCCAGGTCAAAATGGGGCACAAAAATTTCAGGCATACAGAAGAGACGTCCCCACATACCTGGGACCCACATGATAACACGTGAGGGCAACAGTGATTGTAGGTTATGGGGAGAGGTGGGCGGGACCCTGTGACAAAGCCACATGGGCCACTTGGGTAGGAAATGATAAAATCCCCAGAGATTGGGTGTCCTGCTTTTTACAGAGTGGAGCAGCCCAGCAGGGGCAAATGGCAAGGCCCAGAGGCAGAGGTGTAATCTGCCCTGAGGCCTGATGGCTGGGCACAAGTGCTGTGAGGGTAAGTAGGAGAGCTGGGGCCAGGGCATCCCCATGCTGGGCTCTGGGTGAGTCATCACTGACCCAGTGTTCAGGCGCCAAGGGGGCCTAGGCCACTTAATATAGCAGGAAGCCATGAGGGCTGATAAAGAGCGGAGGTTGGAAGCCAAGGGCTTCCCACTTCCTGCAGCCTGAGTGATGGGGTCAGGCACCCAGTAGGTATCTGCTTTTGTAGGACCATGTGTCCACAGCCTGGTAGGTCTGGCTCACAGAACAGGTTTGCCCTGTGATCTGTCTAGTTGCACCCTTGGATGATGGGGCAAGAAATGACCCAATGGCTGCAAGGCTGTCTGGTAACTGCCAGGAGGAAGGGTTTCTGCTCCAGGGCAGTGCCAGAGCAGGGACACAGTCCTAGTCAAGGAGGCAGATGAGAGTGTGGTGAGCTTATCCATCTGGCCAGACTGCATTTGGGATAGACAAATACCTAGGAGATGGGGTGCTCCCAGTTGCAGTAGTTACCCAGTCCTTGGTGTGAGTTCAGATGAGGCCTGCTAAAAGGCCAGCAGCCCTGTGGTGGCCTGTCAGTGCTTTCCAGCGAGTACAGCCCTTCTAGACCTCAGCACTCAGCCATGCTGTGACCATAGCCGATAGCTACAGGACTGTCTACCCCCACCCCTGTATCACCAGGGCCATAATCTCAGCACTACCAAGCACCACTGTCTGCAGTCACCCTACACAACTCCTGGGCCCTGGCAACTGGTCACTACATGGGC